GAAAATGCTAGAGACACAGTACTGTGGTTTTGAATGGGTAAAGCAACCTGTCCAAGTATATATAAAAATTAGAGAAATTGGCAAATATAACCAACAAAAAAACTTTATTTAAGAAACTAACCAAAAAAGAAATGTGTGTAATATGTATTAAAGACACAATTACCCCAAAAGCATCTTTGTCTCTTCTTTCTTCGTTTCTCCACCTCTCTGTTCTTTTTCAGTTTCTTCCTCTCTCCCGGCCTCCTCCATTTTCTCTCCCTCTCACAAGTGCCATGGGGACTCCCATTTGATTCATCTGCTTAAGAGCCTAAACCAGAATCTCTCTGATTCGAATCGACAAGATATTGGTAACTTTAAAAACGTGAATTGGGTTTTGGAAAGTGAAGAACAGACGAGTGAATGACCGATACTGTTTCAATGATCTTTTTAACATTTCAGTTTGAAAACTTTAGTCAAGATATCGCCGTTGTTGGGGTCTATCGTTTGATCTGCAAATGAATTTCTCATTAGTTGAATACAAATAGTATAGATTTTTATGAAAATAGTATACTATTTTTCCTAAACTGAAATTTACTATTCGACATCTTGATTCTCCATTATTTGATGTTAACTGGAAGCTTGTGATTCTGGAATTGAGTGTTTCTTCTCATCTCCTTACGCTGCAAATTAGCATTGAAGATAAATAGATAATGATGAACCTATTGGAGTTGAAGTCGCCGCCACCACCGCGACAAGCACCACCAACGCCACATCGTTGCCGCCATACCAACACAATCACCACCATTGTCATTAACACCACCACCACTACAACTCACTCCTTACGCGTACGTCCACAAACTGAAACGAAATCATTCGATCCAAATGCAGCCACGAGCGTGTTACTCTCCTCTCATAACACGCGCGTCTTCATCCCTTACAAAATGAAAAGGAGTTTTTCGACTTTTATCTTCCACTTGTGTTACTTCCTTCATTTGCCTCATTATAGTGCTATATATTTAATAACTTTATCTAAAATGGTTATTCACCTAATTCACCCTAAAAATTACGTCACATTAAAAAAAAAGTTAGCACACAAAAAAAAAATGTAAAGTAACTTGACACTTGTTTTGCAAAATGATAGTGGAGAATATGATAAAACCGCAACAAAAAGTTATAAAAATCACGAAGAGTTAGAAGAATCAAAGCAACCTAAATACTCGGATGTGAGTCATTGCGAAAATTTTGGTTCGTAAAATTAAGGATTGTGATGAGTTTTAGTTTGCGAAATAACTAAAATATTAAATATTGGTTGACATTTGGAGATTACTGTGGTTTTGGTCGGGAAAACAGCCAAATCCCCTCCGAACTTAGTTGCTTTATCGTATTTATACACAGAACTTTGGTTCGTGCCTATAACTACATGAACTCAACTAAAGTTTGAATTTCCTACGTGAACAATCGAAATCCGGTCAAAACCATCAAATTGACGAACGGTGTTACTGTTCCGTTAATAAATGTTGACTAGGATGCCACATTTGCAGTCTGAGATGCCACATGGACTACGAAACGACGTCGTTTTATTTAATTTAGTAAAAAATAAAAAACTGAGACAAACATTACCAATAAGGAATCGAACCCATGACCTTGGCTACCCATAATCACACCGACTACCAACTGAGCCACTGAAACTTCCGTAAACTTGTCATTCAGAATTATATAAATATATATAACGCAATAAATTAAAAATGACAAATCTTGGACTGAGTCAACGTAGCCTTTGAGTGAATCAAGGTTAATGAGTTTCTCGTGGATTGAGGATTCTGGGTTTTCGTTGGTTGTTGTAGGGGTATTGGAGAAATTGGGAAAATCTGGGAATTTGAAGAGTGATGAAGATGAAGATGAAGTGTGGGAAAATTGTGGTGAAGGGAAGGGAAAGAGGAAGAGGGAAAAGAGAGGGCTTCTTGTTGCATTGGTCAATAGACATCTCACATTACATGAAACTCTCTCTATGAAGCTAAGTGATGATGAAAGGATATGAGTAGAACAGAGTGTGATTCGAAGTTGGTCATGGAGGAGAAGAGTGGTCATGGCTCATTACGTTATATACGTATATATACATGTTTCTGAATGAATGTTAAAAAGAGCTTCCATGGCTCATTGGTTCTGAGATTTATTACGGTACATGTGGCAGTCCATGTGGCATCTCAGACTGCAAATGTGGCATGCTAGTTTTGTTTTTTTAGTGAAACGACATTGTTTCGCAGTCCATGTGGCATCTCAGACTGCAAATGTGGCATGCTAGTCAGCATTTATTAACGGAACAGTAACACCGTTAGTCAATTTGATGGTTTTGGCCGGATTTCGATTGTTCATGTAGGAAATTCAAATTTTAGTTGAGTTCATGTAGTTATAGGCACGAACCAAAGTTTTGTGTATGAATACGATAAAGCAACTAAGTTCGGAGGGGATTTGGCCGTTTTCCCGGTTTTGTTCCAAGGAAAGAATTAAGAATAGGTGAGGATATACTGGGACCATTTAAGTTGGTTGACATGTGCCTAGAACGACCGGATCTTAGGGATATAAGTTGGTCTAAAAGAATCAATACTAATGACTCAAAATTTTCCATAAAAAAAAAAGGAAGAAGAAGAAGAATCAATGATTACTCTATGTAATAATCCAAACTGGTCCTTACAAATTTGCAGAAATGCAGATTGTTTCAAATTAATTTATGCGGTACGCTCTCATAAAAATCCTGTTTCAGGTATTCTTTTTACACATGTTGGAGCTATCGATCGTAACTCTCAACATTTTCACTCCAAAGGAATGTTGAACCAAGCATACTTGTGTCAATTCCATCTTTCTTGTAAGAGTTTCTTGTTAAAATTTAAATTCCAATTCCGACTCAAAAAAATGAAAAATACGGCGAAGTAAAGTATACACACGCAAATTTATAAGAGTTCAATTCACTTGCAATACGAGACCGAGGAAGGGGCAGACCTAGCTTAAGCTTGGTAGAAGGGTGGCAGATGCCTATATATAATTTACTTTGTGGCACCAACATTATTGTTTTATAATGCAATAAAATATGTTTAATTTGATAAAATTTATATACGTAGTTTGTGTTCTATGTAAAATATTTTTCTAGATCGCTGTTGGAAGTAGCAAGGTCTAGTTTTCAACGATCCGATCCATATATGTTAGAGTTGGGAGTATCAAATTTCCCTCTTTTTTACTCTACATTGAAAAATATCAATGCATGAGATAAAATCATATGGCAAACATTTACATACGTGAAATACTCTAAATACATTTTCTTATAACGCTAATTATAACGGCCATGGTCAATATAAAAACCTATATGTTAGGTAGAAGAATAGCATCCGAAAATATCCTTCAAACTATTCAGGTAAAACCTTAGAAACACCCTATATAATATGTGATAGGTGTAAGAGACGAGCAATAATAGAACAACAACAAAAGTGGCAAACAAAAAGGACCTACGCTGAAAAATACACGTGATGTTATAATCGGCCTTCAATTCTCAATGATGAACAATAATGTTTATTGTTGATAAAAAATAAAAAAAATGTAAATTTATACTTTGTCGCTTTACTATATATTAAAAAAATACAGAACCCGTTTTTTTTGGGGTTTTTTGAAATCTACCCTATTTATGACTTATAGTTTGAAAAATACACCTTTTTAGTTTTTTCTTGAAAAATACGTTTAAGTTCAAAAATATTAAACAATTTAATTTTATAGCTGATATAAACCAAATTTTAAACAATACACAAATAGTTGCACATAATACAATTGAATCATTAAAAGCTATATATATATATATATGTCCTTTAAGTTGCCCCTCCAACTCTCCGGTCTCCACATTGGATCTATTGTGCAATTTTATATTAATAATTAAAAGTTAAATTTACTTTATAAATGTTTAGTGGGTGTAAAGAGCAGTCATTTAGGTGATATAAATTTTAAAATATTTCATCTCATACCGAAGCACATTAAACCATCTTTATTACTACATAAGAATATATATATATATATATATATATATATAAACTCACTTTTACTTGATTAAACCGGTCATGGAAGGCTCTTATATAAGAGCCAAATAACCGGTCCTTACCATTTTTCTATTTTTTGTTTAGATTGTCTCTGAAATCTATGATAATCCGAAAAATTCTATCCAAAACCGAACCCGAAAATTTAGATTTATCATATTGGGTCCTCAACTCATATATCCGAAAACCTGAATCCGAACCCGACCCAAACCCGAACCCGAAAATATCCGAATGTTTTATTCGAAAACCCAAAATTTTACCCGAAATTTGAGTTTTAATCGAAAACCTGAATATTTACTCGAAAAATTGGATATTTACCCGAAAACCCGGGTATTTACTCGAAAACTCGACAATTTACCTGAACATTTATATAGCAGGCTACATTTTTTATTTAATTTCTTTTTTAATGGAAACGAGTATTTTTTATGTTACTATCTCACTAATGGCATTTATCCAAAATGGACTATATTTATTCAATCTATTTCAATTCCATTAGATATATGGACAAAATTTGCCGGAAATCAAGTTTAAGACTATTGTGATTTATGTTATAAATTATATCTCATATATGTTTTAAAAATTTTAATTTGCAATAATTATTAAGTTTTCTAAAATCAAAATTGTTAATTTAATTCCATTTTTAAATTAATAATTTTTCCCTAAAAACCACAAGTTAAGAGCCTAACATTAAAGACACATAACAATTAAAAATAAAAATACAATCTCTTAACTCTAAACTTTACAATTTTAATACTAAACTATTGTTAAGAGTCTACCAATAATGTTGCTCTTACCTTATTTAACATACTTCAAAATAGAAAAATACCAAAATATAGTAATATACAACACCACTTTTCAGGCATAAAAAAAAAAATTACGAGTAAGCTTTAACAAATTTATCTACTTACAAAAAATTCTATAAAATTCTGCTTATGTACGTGTATATATGGAGGAGCTCATAAGCTTACCACTATCACAGAAGTCATGCCTCTTGGTTCTTCTTCAAGCTTTTTGATTCTAGTACTCCTAGTATTATAAAAAAATATATTTTATAAATCTACTCTGCGTTATAAAAAAAGATGAAAACACGTAGTAGCTGTGTGGGTAAGATCAAAGGGGGTTTCTCGATCAGTTTCATATTCAGATGCATCAGAGTTCTCATTAACAGATCTGTTTCTTTCTCCATATCTGGTTAAACAATTTTCTTTCGAATTTTTACTTTTTTTTTTAACATATATAGATTCTCGCTGTATCTATATCTTGAGTGTTTGTGAGAAGTTAATTATATGAAATTTTACGCATTATTGTTCATATATATCAAAAAAAAATGTCAAGAAAGCCATGTTGCGTCGGAGAACGCTTGAAGAAAGGAGCATGGACCACCGAGGAGGACAAGAAACTCATCTCTTACATCCACGACCACGGAGAGGGAGGCTGGCGCGACATTCCCCAAAAAGCTGGTTTATACATTTATACAAATCTATAGATGTTTATTTAGTACTTGTTGTACAAAATTGTTATGATAATAATTGTGTTTGATAGGGTTGAAGCGGTGTGGAAAGAGTTGTAGACTGCGATGGACCAATTACCTTAAACCTGAGATCAAAAGAGGCGAGTTTAGTTCAGAGGAAGAGCAGATTATCATCATGCTTCATGCTTCTCGTGGCAACAAGTACGTTTCTATATATATATATATATATATATATGTATGTTTATATGTGTGTGCGTGGACCCTCGAATGTATAATGAAATGCATGAAAGGTTTCATATAGTATTACTTTTATTTAATTGAAGACATCATCATTTTAATAGTCTTCCGGTCTATCTCTCTATCTTCTTTCCTTTAGGTGGTCGGTCATAGCGAGACATTTACCTAGAAGAACAGACAATGAGATCAAGAACTACTGGAACACGCATCTCAAAAAACGTTTGATCGAACAGGGTCTTGATCCCGTGACTCACAAGCCACTAGCTTCTAGTTCCAACCCTACGGTTGATGAGAATTTAAATTCCCTAAATGACTCTAGTTCCGACAAGCAGTACTCCCGGTCAAGCTCAATGCCCACTCTGTCTCGTCCTCTTCCATCCAGTTGCAACATGGTTTCCAAGGTCTGCGAGATTAGCAGCAATGATGGGACACCGGTGCAAGGCAGTTCCTTGAGTTGCAAGAAACGTTTCAAGAAATCGAGTTCTACATCAAGGCTATTGAACAAAGTTGCGGCTAAGGCCACTTCCATCAAAGATATATTGTCGGCTTCCATGGAAGGTAGCTTGAGTGCTACTACCATATCACATGCAAGCTTCTTTAATGGCTTCACTGAGCAGATTCACAATGGAGAGGATAGTTCTAACACATCCCTGACAAATACTCTTGCCGAATTCGATCCCTTCTCCCCATCCTCGTTGTACCCCGAGCATGAGATCAATGCTACTTCTGATCTCAACATGGACCAAGATTACGATTTTTCACAATTTTTCGAAAAATTCGGAGGAGATAACCACAATGAGGAGAACAGTATGAATGTAGAGTACAGTCATGATCTCCTTATGTCCGATGTTTCCCAAGAAGTCTCATCAACTAGCGTTGATGATCAAGACAATATGGTAGGAAACTTCGAGGGGTGGTCAAATTATCTTGACCATACTAATTTTATGTATGACACCGACTCAGACTCGCTCGAAAAGCATTTCATATGACTCTTCATATCCAGACAGAAAGGTTTCAATCTATTCGACGACGTAACTATGGTTCTGTATCCAAGGTTAGTCTCGCTCGAACGAGATGGTGTGTATGTATTTAATATTTGGGTTGTTTAGTATATGTCCAAGGCCTCATGGTTTAATTACGATGTTAATTAAATAAGGGTTTATCTCAGGCTTCCCCTAAAATAAAATAAAATTGGGTTTGAGTTAGGGTTTCTCTTACATTGAGAACCATGCATGTAACCTCGCGAATCAATTAGTAATTGATTTGCGCGGGCCACGATGTTTTATACTAATATATTTATTAATAAAGCTTGTTTTATTTCTCTTATTTTCGTAGTACTTCCCATTATAATCATCGTCGCCCATTATAATATCAATTATGCTCTTTTTGGTTTTTATGCTCGTCTTTATGATTAACTCATTTATTGTTTTCCAATGGCATGAACGTAGTGGATCTGCTGGTACCTTTCGTTGGATTTGAACCGACCACAACATCCCTCTTTGCTATTTTAGTATAAATAAGAAATGTATAAAAAATAATACTAATAAACAAAAATGCTCAAACGAAAAAGACGTTGCAATAAAAGGGTATTTGTGTGGGCAATAAACCATTTACATAAAGCCAAAAGATCACGAGGTGAAACAGAACTCTAATTGGATTTCTGACCCGACAAATCTTGTCTAAAGACAAAATAGAATCCTAATAATAATGAAATTTTTATTACAATAGTATAAAGTTTTTATCATAATATTTATGTGCATATTATTTAATTCGATCTAATAGTCAAATAATTTGAATGAATTCTTCGTTTTATAATTTTCATATTTTCTTTGATATGATTTTTTATTTCCTTGTTTCATTTTTCAAAGATATTTTTGTGTTGCCATGAAAATACCTTAACACGTAGAAACATGCTTTCATACATTAATACACTAACCAATTCCAAAAAAAAAAAAAAAAGATAAGGTGTATTGGAGTTTTTTGTTTTTGTTTTGACAAACAATTCTGATGAGAAGTCTTACTCACTTTTCATAAATGGCCTTTAGACCCACTCATCCCTCAATAACTTTTTTAATTGAAAAAAAAATGAATTGTAAAAATGCCCCTATGATCTTACAAAGAGGCGCAAAACAATGCAACTTACAAGTTACAAGACCAAATCGTTGTGATTGCTCTCGACCCCATTCCTGCTATGCGGCTTTTGCATCGATCGTCAAGAATTCTACATTTGTTTTACCTTATATTAGAACTCGACCATCGTCCACGACTGATTCGTTACTCAATATTACTTGCAAATTTTGTTTTAGTTACTTTCATTCGTATAAGTATATTGAGAATTATTTTATATTACGCGAATGAAGATAAGTAAAACTTAGAGGGACATATATTAGTAAGAGCTATAATTTAATCAACAAATATTTTGTTAATATGCATTAAAATTAATATGATCACTCGTTAATAGTATCTTTCCATATAATATACCACTAGCCTTGTCTCTCAGCTTTCAGTTTAGGTTCTAGTTAATAGTTATATATATTTTCTTCAATTATTATGCATTTGGAGTAGCTATGTTTAAATAAAAAATTAAAAAAAAAACTTGAAAAATTAAAGCAAACACATTGTTTATCAGAAATTTTAGTGGAAAAATAAAAGATGAAAACTTTGTTGGTCAAAAACTCCTTTTTGTATTATAGGTTATTTTACATTAAACACGTTTTTGCTAAATATGTGTGAGCGCTTTTTCTTGTCGGCATGTGTGCAGCTTTTAATCAGTAAGATGATACTTTTAATTTCACCGGTTGTCAACTTGCAAAGAAAGAGCCAAACCACTCAAATTACGTTAATCATATAGCAATATTGTTTTAGAAATTAGAATACCAATATAATCCAATGTTTTCTTTTGTGAAAAACACACTTTATTTAACGATTAAACGAATACATTATATGCATTATCTAACAAAAAGTAAAAGTACTAGATTTTTATGCTAAGAGATTGGTCTTCCGATCGAATCCATTACATCCCTAAAATGTTAATCATTGGAGTTCTGTAAACAGAATAGACTTAAAATGTGGGATAAGCCACAAAAACTATATAGGACCATCTGCACAAAAGTAATTAGGCCTAATGCTACTGGGCTTTACTTAAAAGCCTAAAATAGTATTGTGACGAATGTGGAGAGCCGTTTTGGATTTATTCAACCCGTTAATAAATGTTTAAATCACTTTGTAAATGTAAGATGGTTACTAATCACTTTTACGAGGTGATTTGAAGCAATTAAGTAATGCAGAGATTACGATATAATTTTGGGAAGCATCAACTTTTGACCAACGCTTTGAATCGCTCTCTTTCTCTATAAATAGCCATTTCTCAAACTCATTCTTTACAAACTCATAAATCTCCAAATTCTTGATCATAATCAAATCTGAAGAATGAGTGGGAAAAGCAGTAGCGGCGGTGGAGGAAAGAGCAGTGGCGGTGGAGGAAAGAGCGGCGGCGGTAGTGGAAGTGGCAACGGAGGAAAAAGTGGTGGAAGTGGCAACGGTAACATGGTAGCACCAGGGACAAATGGGGGTGCTTACATTTCAAGAAGTGGATTTGAGAGTAACCCTCAAGGTTACTTTAGTAACTTGCATGGTAGTGGTCCTAGTGGACAAAGCAAGAAGTGACTTGAGTGTTTGTATTATACTACAACTCTACAAGCATGCATGAGTCATCTTCTCTGATCTATTATTCTCTAGTTAATAAAATGCAATGAAGTATTAAATAAATGAGATTTTTATCTTTATGAAGTGTTTGTGCTTAGACCCACTTTTCCTAATTCTTAATCAATCTCGTTAGTCCTCATGAACTATGCATCTATGGGCAGATATAAAGAGAGCCAACAAGATCATGGTTCATGGGCCTTCTTGGATCACTATCCAAGACATAAAAGCATCATGTAATAGATTTACAAATACGAAATCTATCAAAAGGGACTAACATTAGGTTGGCTCAGCTTCAGTTTTTGTTTTATATCGTTGACAAATATAAAAATTTTACATGTTAATTTAAAATTTGTCAATTGTTTAAAATTTTACTTATCAAATTGAATCTTGAATTTCTATTACATTTTTTATATTTTATTTATTGAAACTATAAAATTGACCTCAAAAACTATATATTTATTATTGACCAAAAAAACCATATGTATTATTCTTTCATTTATTTACTGGTAAAAAAGATCTGGATTTACTCATTCCCACAAAATTACAAGTCAGCAGCAATAGAGAACCAACCGTTTGAGATAGAGATAAGCTGCATTGGATCATCCGAACAAGGAAGACGTTACCCACGAGACCGTAATCACACGTGGCGGATTCTCAGATATTCTCCTCTTTTTTGCCTTTTCCCGGAGAATAAAGTTTCTGGTTTTTTTTTTTGTTCGAGGGAGATAATTGGTGTAGAGACGAAGCAAGAAGGAGGAAGAGGAAGAAGAAAGAAACGATTGGGGTTTTCTCTCAGAAGCTACACCCACCAACTCTTTCAGGATTCTAGTTAGAGAAAATTTGAATCTTTGATTCCGACATGTCGACCTCCGCCGCTTCCTTGTGTTGTTCATCAGCTCAGGTCAATGGGTTTGGTCTTAGGCCTGAAAGGTCGCTTCTTTACCAACCCACTTCGTTTTTTTTCTCCAGGTAAATCAATTATCATGATTTTGTTCTAGTTACTACGATTGCTCATGGATAGGTTTGTTTGGCATCGTTAATTTGAAATTATGTGGTAATTGAAGATTACTTTATTTGTATCATTAGCGGATTTGGTTATATAAATGAAGTGTCTTTGTGGATATTGTTGCTTGAGTAAACATTATCAAGGTCCTGCAGTAGTATAGATGTTGTTGATCTTGAGAGCTTATGCTTTTGATTTTGTCACTTTACAAAGATTCAATCTGCATTAACTGTTGTTATCTTTAATTTACACTTTGGTATGCAAACTTTTTGCAGAAGGAGAAGTCATGGAATTGTCAAGGCCTCAGCTCGGGTTGATAAGTTTTCCAAAAGTGATATCATTGTTTCTCCCTCTATTCTCTCGGCTAATTTCGCCAAATTAGGCGAGCAGGTTTTTGTTGCTCTCCTTTTTTTTGGTTTCTAGTTTCAATTACTTCTTCTGTTTTGTTTCTCCTTTTTATTTTGTTTTCCGCCTTCTTCCAGGTTAAAGCAGTGGAGTTGGCAGGTTGTGATTGGATTCATGTTGATGTGATGGATGGTCGTTTTGTTCCCAACATTACTATCGGACCTCTCGTGGTTGATGCTTTGCGCCCTGTTACAGATCTTCCATTGGATGTTCATCTTGTAAAGACTTACTCCTTTTTCTTATTTCTCTGTATATGGTTTCTTGATGTTTCGAGTCACCTTTCTGATTAGAGATTCTCCAAAATCAGATGATAGTGGAACCCGAGCAGAGAGTACCAGATTTCATCAAAGCAGGTGCAGATATAGTCAGTGTACATTGCGAACAGCAATCGACCATCCATTTGCATCGCACCGTCAATCAAGTACTCATATTTTCATGCTTCCACTTTTTAAAATTTCCTTCTGGTGGAGTGTTCTTAACAATAAAATCTTACATTGTACTGCTACAATGGTGTTTAGATAAAAAGCTTAGGGGCTAAAGCTGGAGTTGTCTTAAACCCTGGAACCCCATTGAGTGCAATAGAATATGTCTTGGATGGTGAGTTTTTCTGTCCTAACACTGCATTTGCTTTGGCGATAGATGATTAAGATTTCTCATTGGAATATCATTTGTTTCTGATATCAGTGGTGGATTTGGTCTTGATCATGTCGGTCAACCCCGGTTTTGGTGGACAGAGCTTTATCGAAAGCCAAGTAAAGAAAATCTCGGACTTGAGAAAAATGTGTGCAGAGAAGGTATCGATCGAGTAACTTCTTTCCAAGTGAAAGTCCATTCTCTTCTCAAAACATTGTCTTGTTTTTTTTCAGGGAGTAAACCCATGGATTGAAGTTGATGGTGGTGTCACTCCAGCGAATGCGTACAAGGTGAAGCTCAGATACTCTTCCGAGTTTCATCTTTAACTCGCATTGTGCTGCTGTAGATATTTCTGTGCCGTAGAGATCTCTCGATAATGAATCTTTTGTGAGCTCTAATAGGTTATTGAGGCTGGAGCAAATGCTCTAGTGGCTGGATCAGCTGTATTTGGAGCTAAGGACTACGCAGAAGGTATAGAGATAAAACCGATGTTTATATTACTTTCTGAGTTTAGCCAGTAGGAATATATAACATTTGTTTTGTTTGTTTGTTGAAAAATCTGCAGCTATAAAAGGAATTAAGGCCAGCAAGAGGCCAGAAGCTGTAGCTGTGTAATGTGAAGAAACAACAAGCCAAAAAGAGTCTGTTAAACTTAGGTTAATGATTTCGCCCATGTTTGTATCTTAATACTCTGCTTGCAGTACACAAATTTGAATCTTGAAATCGAAAAACTTGTAAATTTGAACCTTTCCCTTTGCTGTTTCTTCCATTTTTTGATGAGCAAATTCTGCTTCCGGATTTTGTCTGAGTTGCTATAACTTTGATTTCAGGAACAGTTAAAAAGTCAAAGACGATCACCAGAAGTCCAAGATGCTGTCATTGTCTCCATTCGCCATAAGAATCAATCTATATATCTACAAAGTAGGCTCCTCTATATTATTCTGTACCATTGTCTTGTAAATTGAGGATATGCAGATTCCATACATTTTGCAATGAAACACTGTAATAAGAAATATGCTGTTACATGTGTTTTTGACTTCAAATAAAGCATTTCATTTGTCTTGCGACTCTTGCCCAAACACTCAGTGATAATCACTTTGTTCTATCTCCTGTAAAAGTTTTATCCCTTATTTACAACGAAGAGCCTGAGATTGAACCAAAAAATCGTGAAGCTCGCAAGATTAACAGATATTGACTAGCAGGAATTGCTGCCAATTAGCAGATAGTTCCCAAACGACTTGAATTGGTCAAGAAACAAGCTGATCTTAGATATCCATTCTCTTGATAAAACATGGCTAGCAATTGATTCACCATAAGGTTTGGCAATATCCCAGTTTTGATCATGTCACAGTGCAACATCATTGTATCTGTAATACGCTTTTCTCGGAGGTGGGCCTTTAACATCGATACGTAACTCCATATGTCAGGGGTTACCCCGCCGGATTTCATGTCTGAGAAGAATCTGCTAGCTCTAAGAATGTAGCCGTTCTGACATAACCCTTCAATCAAGCATGTAAACCCCACATATTTCCAGCAGCTCCTCTGGACAATGGATTTACCGGTTGCAGCTTGATTGTTTTCTAGATAAAAATCGATGGCATCAGAGAGTCGCCCTTCTTTCCAGAATCCATCTACTAGGCAAGCGAACGTGTGATCATTGGGGTGAATTCCAGCCTCTAGCATGTCACTGTACAGTCTGAGTGCTTCTTTCATGTTGGCCTCCTTGAAATGCGCATCAATCAAAGTTGTGTAGGTCACAACATCAGGAACTATACCTTTAATGGTCATCTCGAAGTACAAGCCCATTGCAGCTTTTATGTTTCTCACTTTGCAGTAACCGTCGATCAAAGTAGAGAAGGTTATGATGTTGGGTTCTACCCCACTTGATGTCATCTCAGAGCACAAATCCAGAGCTTTCTCTATGTTGTACTCTTTACAAAACCCATGAATCAGCGAATTGTAAGTCACAGAGCTCGGAAAAATTCTCTCATTCTTCATCCTCTGAAATAATCGATTTGCTTCTGCTAGCCGCTCTTCAGTACATAGCCCGTTGATAAGTATAGTATAAGTGAATACATCAGGCGAAAGATTCAAACTTTCCATCTCAGAAAGTAATCCCATTGCTTCCAACATGTTCCCTGATTTGCACTGTCCATGAATTAAACAGTTATAAACATATAAATTAGGATCAACCCCAAACTTCACCATATGCACGAAAAGGCTTCTTGCAGCTACCAATTCGCGAGCTTTGCAAAACCCATCGACCAATGTGCCGAAAACAACAACATTTGGCAGCAATTCAGCAACAAGAATCTCCTTATACAAGCCGTAAGCTTGTCTCAGGTTACCGGTCTTACAATAACCATCAATCATTGCACTGTAAGTATACAAGTTTGGAACAACACCATGTATCTTCATCAACTCGAACATTTTCTCCGCTTCTTCCATCTTATTTTCCCTACACAGATCACGGATATATATGGTATAGATATAAACATTTGGCTTGACCCCTAACGACGTCATTTCATCAAGAAGTTTCTCTTTCTTGGAGGGAAAACCTTGCTTGAAACAGCATTGAAACAAAACTGAGTAAATGTGGACATCAGGGACCAACCCACGAGAGATCATAAGTTGGTAATCAACCCAGACAGAATCAAACCTTCTCCTTCTAACCAATCCATTCAAAATGGCAAGACAAGCTTTCGAATCCGGTGAACATCTCATCTCTCGACTCACCCAAAGAGCATCTTCAAACAAACCCATCTCCAAAAACTCCATGATCAATAGACTAAACACTCCGATACTGAATTTTGGACTCTGAATATCTTCAAGAGCATTGAAAAGTCTATGAGAAATGTTAGTCGGCTCACTGTAGCGCCTGAGACGTTCTATGAGGCTTTTTATCAAACACCTGGCGAGCGTATACTTGTGAGCTCCGGTTAAAACATGAATTACAGCTGAAAAAGATTGGAGATCCGTTGTCTTCGAGAGCCGAGAAATCGAAGACGTTTCGAACAGCCTGAACGCTTCTTCCGCTGATCTGCATTTCAGTATTGCTTCAGCCAGACTCGAAGAAGAAGACGACGACAAAGAGAGCAACGAAGATGCTGAATTTGGCAGATAAGGTGACTGAGAGAACAATCTAAAGGTGAAAAATTGAAACTTGTAGAAGTAAGCTGAAGAAGTTCTTCTATGTTGGAGAAACAGATGCTTCAACATCTGGACAAGAGATTGTACGAATCTGCTGGTTCCGTAATGGTACAATACTCTCGTTGGTTTATTCCGGTTAATATTCATCAGTTCTTAAACAGGGTGAGAATAAGTAATTTGATGCATTTTGGTATGTAAGCAAAATAGCCAAAATTGTCAAGGGACTAGGGGCGATGAATGTACTTAGTTTTTGATTCCCATTTCTTAGTTTATGTTATAAAATTTCATTGTTTGACCAGTAATATATTTTCCCTTTTGGTATAAAGTATAAACTTTGAATTTGAAAAAAAAAGAATCTTTACAAGTAAAACAATCTAAACCAAAAATATATTTTTGTTAGGAAACCGACAGAGAGAAAGAGAAGCTGGCCTTTTCCTAGCAAATTGGGCAAAGAATACCCACCTTACCAAGTTATCTTCCTCATATAAATCTCTGCTCAATTTCGATAAAAAGTTGAATCCTTTTTCACATTTTCCGCTCAATTCGATCCGACCCGTTAACAATGGTTGGTCTAACTACACCAGAGGATCGTTCAGAGATTGCCTTTTTCGACGTCGAGACGACTATTCCGTTCCGAGCTGGTCAAGGGTACGCGATTCTGGAGTTTGGATCGATCCTGGTTTGCCCCAAGAAGCTTGTGGAGCTAAGAAACTACTCTGTCCTGGTTCGACCCGCTAATCTCAACCTCATCACGCCTCGGTCCGTGAAGTGCAACGGCATCAAACGAGAAGACGTCGAATCAGCTGCTACCTTTGCAGATATCGCCGACACCGTCTACGATATTCTTCATGGTTGGGAACTTTCTTCTTCTTCTTCCTCCTTTTTTAAATTTCGTCTCTTTTGTTTGGTCTTTGGTGTATGGTACGGCTGAATTTGAACTAGAAGCAAAAAAAATCTCTTCTTTTGAGTTTCTGTGTCCAATGGAGATTCAGGTGTGTTGATGTTCTGCTTTTTGGGTTCATTTTGTAGGAAGGATATGGGCAGGACACAACATATTGAAGTTTGATTGTCCAAGGATAAGCGAAGCATTTGCTGAGATTGGACGAGATCCACCAGAGCCAAAGGGCACTATTGACTCGTTGGCTTTGCTTACTCAAAGGTTTGGGAGAAGAGCTGGTGATATGAAGGTAAAAATTAAGATATCTGGTGCTGAGTTTTGAAGTGATTTCTTCTCGTATAATTAGAGTCATGATTGATCTTGCTCTGTGTATTTTGAATTTACTTGATGGAGATGAGCTCTTGAATTCGAATTTGACGATTTTGATGGATGCTTATTCTGTTTTCCTGTGGACTTTGATTGAACAGATGGCGACTTTGGCTTCATACTTTGGACTTGGCAACCAGACGCATAGGTATTTAAATATGCGAGCTATTTTTGCATTTCGGTGTTTTAATAAGCCGGTTGAGTTCTAATGCTTGTATGCTTTTTGTTATCTCTTAAGGAGTCTGGACGATGTCAGGATGAATCTCGAGGTTCTCAAGTATTGTGCCACTGTTTTGTTCTTGGTATGCTCTCTTTATCTCTTCGATTTTGATTACCTTGTGTTGTGTCCCAGTCGCTCTGTCGCATGTTTTTTTAGAATAGAGATTTTAGTGATTCAGAAACATGCTATTTTTCAACAGGAGTCAAGTCTTCCAGATGAACTAATAGAGAACTCGGTTACTACTACTACTCCAGAAACAAGTTCAAGAAGGCGTAGGAATATCAAAACATCTCCTCTGCAATCTCCTGCTGATCATCAGACAGGAGAGAACAGTACAACTATACCTATTTTATCATTTGTTTCATCCGCAGAAGCTCAAACGGATCCGTTTGATATGAGCACTTTGAGGAACGAAATAGCCCCAGAGGTTCTTCAATCAGATGTTCCCATGGAAGAAGAACAAAATCAGCAGTCTGAGACTGTTACCTCTGAGGGTACCTGTGACCAGGAAGGATTCTTGGAGCTAGATAAAATGTCTATTTCAAGTATCAGAGCAACTCATGTCCCATTATATGACGGGAGCCAAACAATGAAGGTACAGCTCTGCCTTGGGGACAGACCCCTTCAGCTCCATTGTCCTCATCTGAGAGTACGGTTTGGAATCAATGGGAAATTTATGGATAAAGCTGGGAGACGGAGGTTGAACTTTGTAGTTGATCTGTATCCAAGTCTCTGCAACGTACTTCAAGAATGTGACAATGCTGCACAGACAATATCTGTTGATTCAGGCAGCGATTCTGACTGGAACCCGGCGGTCATTCCAATGAAAGGATTTCTGAACTGTCCCACCGCAAGGATACAGTAGGTTTTCCTGTATATCTCCTTTACTTATTTCTTTTAGAAACCATGTTTGCTTAGTTTTTCCTGATTATTTCTTTGTGCAGTATACCCACAGAGTTAAATGGAGATGTAGACCGGTATGCAGCTGAGATACACCAGAAAGAGTTCTCTGGAGCTATTGCTACTCAGAAACTCATTTCAAGCAACCCGAAGGTTGGGGAGATTGAGTCTTTGTTGAATCCGGGAACTGTTCTCGATGCTTTCTTGTCTCTGGAGCCATATGATTATCAGCAGAGAGCTGGAATCCGTCTAGTTGCTAGAAAGCTTGTTATACATTAGTAAACCTTACCCAATAGCCCACCATAGAGACTAAAGAAATCAGAGTTTAGTGTACTGTAGAGATTTATTTATGTAGTCATGAAAGAAACTCACAACTGCTGTTCCTGACAGTAGATATATAGCTGATTCTGTTCTTTGTTTCAAACTACTTGCAATCCAGATTTAGATTTTCATATGCTTCTTGTAACCGAATTTCATTTCTAGTCTTGTGTCCATTAGTAAAGAGAGAAGCTTTAAGTTATGGAACACA